TATTATGTTTTTACATTACATTTGATTATTTGATATGAAAACCCCAGCCTTCCATGTCCTAAATTTAATCATTATAGCCTATCATATTGTTTGTTTAGTTTTTTTTTTTTAACAAAATACAATTTTTTAAAAAGTTAATGAATTTCTTCACTTTTTAAAATTAAGCCACACATAACTTCTATTCATAGACACACTCCACTAATATAGCAATATACATACTATCACATTACCTATCTTTTCGTTTCTTTAGGTCAAGTATTAATTGTTTTCTCATACTCCATATATGTCTATGAAGCTTGGTTTTTTGCTTGAGTCCTATGTTTTTAGTTGATTATTTCCAACTTCATAAACCTAATTAACGGACGAAGGATCAATTGAAAAGGTGATCAGAGGAAGCAAGGAAATTGAGGGCTAAAGCCTAAATGACTAATTTTGGTGATAAGAAAAGACATTAATAAATTATTTATGTTCACATGCAAAAACAGATGGATTGTGTCCAATTAGTGTATATATATATATATATATATATATATATATATATATAATGAAAACTAGCACGTTAAGGGATTAATATAGAAAAGCCAAGCAAATCTTGTGGATCCAAGGATTTGTTGTTAAAACGCAGCTTTTCTCTAATCATGATGTAGGCTTTAACCAAATTATATAGAAAGACTTGTTTTTGGCAATCATGCTTACATTTTTAGAATTTCAGTACAATTAAAGCTTTCTAGGATATTTTTTACAACTATATCATACTTATCATGCATTTTATTGTTAAAGAAAAAGAAAAAATTTTTTAAATGAAGTAAGAAGAAGACACATTGCAAGATAATGAAATTGTCTCTAATCTTTGTTATAACATATAAATTTGTAAACTTATCACTAGATATTGACTTAAGAGTCATCACTAATTTTTTTTTAAGTGCGATTGGCCACACTCTCATCATGTCCATTTAAAAGATTATACCAATTTGATTTTATATTATCCAAACCTTAAAAATCCTATCAAGTAATTAATTATTGAAAATTATTTTTAAATTATTCCAATATATTGGCAATAATTTAAGAATATTTATCACCTCAGAAGTATTCAAAGAGATTATTTATTATGTTTTGAAAAGATTCTATTGTCGGATTCATTTGATTTTCTAAAAACTTTTACTTAGCTTCGAATGGGATTTAAAACCTTAATATAAAAATTTTTATCTAAATTCTCCACTTTAAAAAAGATTTCTCACATAGAAATTTATCTAAAAATTACTATTTGCAGCACTTTTAGTAATTCCATCATTAGAGATTCAAAATAAAAAAAAAATTCATTTTTCAAAAATATCTTTCAATATGTTAGATAATATTTTTTGTCAAAAATCATCCTCTAATATTTTAGTAAGATTTTACGAAAACTATTTCTTTCCTTTATTTATTTTTTAAAACTTAATTTTTATTAAAAATCATAAGATTATATGTTTGGTAAAATCTTATTTTTCTAAAAATAAAATCATAAGCCCTTCAATATGTTAGTAAGGTTTTTTTGAAAACTAAATGTATTTTGTTTTTCTTGAAATTTAATTTTTGTTAAAAATCTATAAGATTTATCACTATGTTGGTAAAATTTTATTTTGAAAAATAAGTTTACAAGTCCTCTAACATGTTGGTAAGATTTATTTTATTTTATTAAACAATTTATTTTTTTTAAATGAACCTTTAAATATGTTAATAATCTTCATTCAAAATTTCATCTTTTAAAAACTTGATCCATTTAATATGTTGGTAAGATTCTTTTTCATTTGCAAATTTATTTTTATTTTTAAAAAGTTTACAAATAAATGAATAAACCAAATAAACAAATAAATACAAACAAATAAACACATAAAAAAATATAAATAAATGAAGAAATAATCAAACAAAATAAATAAATAAATAAATAACCTAAATGTAGCTTGTTTTAGTGGTTTGAAAATGGCTCAACTGCAGGCACAAAAGCAGCTCAGGAGAGTGCGACTCAAGGCTTGGCTTAATAGCTTACCCGACTCAATAGAAAACTAACTTTAAAAAGCCTAGGTCGAGTGTGCTACAAGTTGGATCAATGCGTTGATCGTAGATCCTTCTTGGATCAATGCACAAATCTTGAATTTTCTTTGCCCAAAATGACACTGTTTTAAAAAACTATAAAAACCTTTAATTTTTATTTTTTCCTCAAAAGTTGCTTCAACTCTTTCTTTTCCCTTTTTTTTTTTCTCTATTTTCTTTCTCTGAAAGGATGAAATTGGTGGCTGAAAACTAGGTTTTCTCATTGGATTTTTTATTTTTTGTCGGAACCTTATCAAAAAATTAAATGATTTTCTAGATTTTTCAAAAAAAAAATCACAAAATTCACAAAAAATACCAAATTAATGTTCTAGATCCCTGGAATCTTCCAAAAACACTAATCAAACCAAATCAAATTCTCACCACTCCCAAATTTTCAAAAAAACCCATTTCTGTCAGAAATTCCCCATTGTTTTTTTCCTTTAAAAACATTTTTTCATTGTTCTATATGCGATGTTTTTGCATTTGTTCATGTTGCTCTTCTTGCATGTGAATTAGAGGTCAATTTATAAGGAAAAATCAACAGTTTCAAATGAAATATGATTCCACTTTAAAAAATCTTTCATATTATGATAAAAAAAATTAATATTTATCTTCAACAATTTAAATCCAAATCAATTTCTGATAAACCAACCTTATCACCAAGCTTCATCGCATACCCTTCTTCCCAGATGAATTCGGTCATTTAAATTTTTTTTTAAAAAAAAAACTGATCAAGTAAAATAAAATAGAATAATATTTAAATTAAAGATAAACCAACAATAAAAAGAACAATAAATAAATAAATAAAATAATTATGTACATAGAAAATACAATAGAAGTAAAAATATAAATAAATAAAATAAAAATAAAAATAAAATAAAATTTAAACCCTAACGAAATAAGATGTCTACACTCATTTAATAATTTTTAAAAATGATATATGTATTTTTACAATGACATTCAAAATACAAATGATCTGTATGATGAAGTTATCAAGATTTAAGAATTGAAGAAAAAGCTTGAATTTTTCCATCCAAAAAAATGTATCATAACTAAAACTTACGGAAACGAAGAAAGAAAAGCACCATGACGGAGAGTAATTCAGACTCTTTTTGACTAGTGTTTGATTGGGATCTTCAATTTACTAAGCTTTCAGATTTATACTTTTAATGTTGGTTTACATGTTTTTGTGAGTATTGGGACTGTGATTATGGATTTCTCACGTCATATTGATATATCGACATTTAAGCTTCTGTACTTTCTGTGCTCTATTATATTCTTATTTTTGGTTGAATATTTGTAACTATTTCGATACTTTTAATAAAATCTTACTTTGCCTTGGTAAAAAAAAAAAAAATGGTATAAGATTTTGCTTTGGATCTCATTTAAATTATGCACTTCTCTGGCGTTTATTAGATTAAAGTTCTAAGACAACAAACTAAACATATTATTTTTTGTCTAAACAATTGATCACACGTCGTAATGACGTTATTCTAATAGCACAAGTCGTATTTTTCATGGTCTTGTCCAACTATTAACATAACCAATAGAAAATATAGTATTATACTCCTACCATATATATCAGATCCTTATTAAAATTATTTATAAAAGCAAACAAATATGCTTGAAATGAGGAAATGCGCAGTTTTGTGTCCAACAATGTGAGGCAAATACTGGCATTTTCTTCTAATTACAAGCACAATACGCTGAGCTTTAAAATAATTGTAGAAACATTTAGGAAGCACGACAAATAGAAGTACTCAAAAATTACGGGATTTGCCAAAGAAATAAGCATCATTATATACTCAGCAATCAGCACAGAGAGTCTAAGTTTGTCGTTTAAAGTAGTTGGCTTGACAAAGGAGATAATCAAATAAAGTAAGTTGTGGTATGTTAAACTAATTTAGCATTGACTTTCTAATACGAGAGAAGTGGCTAACAGAGAAATGAGAAGAGCAAATCAGGACAACTGCTAATGCTGGTGGTGGAGTGGGTGCCCTCTTCAGCAGCTATGGTCAAGGCGGCTGGAAGACAAATGAAATGGCGTATGGTTCCACGAGGCCGCTAACTGGTGAGGATTGGTTGGAGTCGTTTGACCTGTGAAAAGCATCTCTCCAACCTTATACCTAACCCCAACAAATCCTCTATTTTTGGGGGGATGGTCAGGTCTTTGAACCGCGCGTTTTCTAGGGTCACCATTTGATTCGTTTCGGATGGTGTCCCACAATGCATCAAAAGACCTGGCCTTAAACCATTAATTAAGCTCTCATGCAGCTAGTTTGACAATTGGGTTTTACTTTGAACTATAAATTATAAAATTTTCAAGCATTCAAAACTTGAGAATGAAATATATTAGTACTTCATGTAGGAGGAAATGTCTCAGGCTAATACTATGGTTTTAATACATACAGATATACCTTGAATATGCAAACTTAACTACATTTTTAAATATTACTTAAGTAGATCGAATAGTTGACTATTTGTTCCAATCTATAAATTGTTGACCTTTTTTTTCCTGTGCAATTTGTAGTCTTTACCCAGATCACGCCATATATATGTACATCCATTACTATTCCCCGACTTCCTTGCGAGTTGGAAGCTATTGAAAGACACATTGAAATCTATATTTTTTCTACGTTTAGTCATTTGTTGTTGAAGTTGTGTAAGAGATGTGTGAAAAGAGTCATTTCGAGGAAATAAGAAGAATACATGTGTTATCAGTAGTAAATTATTAGTAGTAAATCTAGTTCTCAATTTTTTAAATATATATATATATAGACTACCATATGAACTTGATTTCTCAAACTTGTGGTTGTCCAAATCCAATGTATGATAAAAATTTCTCGTTCATATTCATCAACCGACCGACCAACCACCTAATATCATTTCCCTCTTATATTAACCCTTTCTCTTCTTCCCCAGGAAGTATCTTCTTATCATTTCCATCTTTATATTCCGTTGTCCTTCAGATACCCTTAAAGAAACGTTTTCCATCATCTGTCAGGGAAACATTTGAAGTCCCTTGCAGTTTAAGGGAACTGGTCTCACCACGGCAAGAATGTTAAAACTTGCTTTATATCTCTCTCTTTTTATGTGTTTGATTTTATCATCCTATGCACAAACTTGTGCCAAGTATGCCTTCTCTAGCAACCGCGTCTTTAAGTCATGCTCTGATCTTCCTGTCTTGAACTCCTTTCTTCATTATAACCATGACTCGTCAGGGAAGCTCGAGATTGCCTATAGGCACACTGGGATCACTTCCTCCAGATGGGTTGCATGGGCCATAAATCCAACCTCAACAGGCATGGTTGGATCACAGGCACTTGTTGCCTACCAACAGACTGATGGAAGCATGAAAGTCTACACATCACCCATCACTCAATACCAAACCCAGCTGAGAGAGGGTAGCCTTAGTTTTGATGTCTCGGACTTATCTGCAACGTATGCAAACAATGAGATTATCATATTTGCTACCTTGGGACTCTCCAATAATGGCACTACTCTAAACCAAGTTTGGCAAGAAGGTGCCCTCTCTGGGAACAACCCACAGACGCATCCAACTTCTGGTGCTAACATTCAGTCCGTGGGGACCTTGAATCTGCTTTCTGGTGAGGCTGGAACAACTGGAGGAGGAAGCTCAAGACTTAGAAAGCGAAACGTAAGTGAATGGCATCTATCTCTTACTTGAATTATGATTCAATTTGGATTGGTTTTGCTAAGTTATCACGAGATTATCTCTTTTATAATGGATCTCTTCTGTTTCTAGGCTGCTTTGTTAATCAATTTCATTGAATTCCTTAAGCGTATAGCATTATTTGTTGTTGACAAGAAAGTTTGATGCAGGGGAGAAGGAAGTTTCTAGTGCTAGACTTCTGGATTTGATTTAGAAATGAATAGATTACAGTCCAAGGAATATTTGCTTTAAGTTTTCTTTTCTTATAACATATAAGAAAATTACCCCCCCCCCTCGATCTTGCTTTTATATTTTGAGATAAAAGTTTCATTTCTTTTCTGTTTTATTTGTCTAAAGCTTTATCCTGTTCAGATGTAAAATTAATTGTTAAACAAAGCAAAATTATAAATTGTTATTTTTAGCAATCAAGTTTAACCAACCTGAATACTTTCATATTCCCTCCAATAAAAATTTCAGATTCATGGGGTGCTAAACACAGTCAGTTGGGGGATCTTGATGCCTATTGGTGTTATAATAGCGAGGTACTTGAAGGTATTAAAATCTGCTGATCCTGCATGGTTTTATCTGCATGCTTCTTGTCAATTCTCAGCCTACGTTGTTGGCGTTGCCGGATGGGGTACGGGTCTCAAACTCGGCAGCGAATCTCCTGGTGTTCAATATGATGCTCACAGAACCATTGGGATCATCCTTTTCTGTCTTGCAACACTTCAGGTAGTCAAAACACGCACAAAAGAAATACCAGATATATAATCTATTCTCATATAAATCTTGCTAGATGATTAATTTACAATATTTTTCGATTTTGGTAAATGTAGTGTACTGACAGTTTTGATTTGGACGTAGGTATTTGCTTTGCTGCTAAGGCCAAAACCAGATCATAAATACAGATTCTACTGGAATATCTATCATCATTTGGTGGGATACACTGTCATAATCCTTGGTGTCATCAACATATTCAAAGGATTCGACATCCTGAAACCCGAAAAGAAGTGGAAGAATGCTTACATTGGTGTCATTGTTGCTTTGGCCGTCAATGCTGTCATGTTGGAAGCCTACACATGGTTTGTTGTAATAAGGAGGAAAAGGTCAGAAAATGCAGGAAAGATACCGTATGGCGTCAATGGTGCAAATGGAAGTGGGTTTAACGGCCATGGTGCTAGGCCACAGCAGGCTTAGAAACTTTGCTCCATGTATCCTCTGGCCTTTTTGGGTTTACTCTTTTACTTTTCTTTTTTTTTTTTAGTTTATTTCTTACTCAGACAGGCATACGTTGGACCCTCGGTTATATTTATGTATGCCATTTTCTGAGGGAATTCAGGATTAGAAGTTATTCTTTCATACTTCATAGTCCCTACATGCTACTGGGGGGATGCATATATCTGTTTCTTTTATACATTTTTGTATACACTTTTTTCTTCCATACTTATTAGTTTTTCCTACAAGTGAATTATCTATAATATGTGATTGATGTCAATAATTACAATGATAAAATAAAGTTTGTGAAGCATAATTTGATTAATCTTCAATTAATTAACATTTAAATTACAAAGACATTGTACATATGTAAATAAAAAATGGATCCATTCCGTAGATTAAAATTCACTGATATACGGATGAATAGTATTGTCTATGGGTGAGCCACGTGGCATGTTGGCTTTTCTTTTCTTTTTCCTTTTTTCTTTTTTTGTTTTTGCTTTTTAGCTTTTTAGCTTTATTTTTTTCCTTTATTTTTTTTGCTATTTTTTGTATTAAATAAATATTAAAAATTTTAATTTTTTTAAAGATGGGGGAGTAACTTTTTAACAAAATTTTTTTCTTCTTTCCTTTTTTAAGATTTTATATTTTTTTATGACTCACTTGGTACTAAGAGTTTGTCACACATTTGTTTTTTCTATTATCTTTTATTTTTATATATTTGATTTTTTAAAAACTTAAATTTTTTGTGTCTCGCCGACTTGATATTAAAGATATATCACATGTCAAATTATTTTTTATTATTTTTTTAAATCCTTATAAATATTTAAAATATTTAAACTTTTTTAATGTTATACTTATTTAATATTATTGATTAAAAAATTATTGTTTTATTTTTTTAATTTGATAAATTTTAAGAAATGATATTGGGGAAAGCTCGCATTTCTTATGTCACATGGCAACTCGATTTTCTTCCACCTTTTTTTTTTTGCTTTTTTTCTTTTCTTTTTAATTTTTGTTATTTCTTCTTTTTTTTTAATTAGTTGATTTTATTGAGAAAAAAAGACCATCGGGTGTGTATACGTGACACTCTAATTTGTTTTTTTGCCTTTTTTTATGTCAATGGAAGTATGGATAATAAAATAACCTATATCTAATAAGTTTTGACTTATTTAGATTTGATAGGTGCATTTTTTATTTAAGATCAAGACAAATTTTTTTTTCAAAAATTAAGGTCAAGCAAATATGGGTTTATGATGTTTTGTTTTATCTTGACTATATATATTAAATTATATTTTTAATTATTTATTTTAATTTTAGATTTATATATATTATATTAATAAAAATATTATTTAATGTTTTAATTTAATATAAATATTATATTTATCTATAATTAAAATATAATCCATCCATCTATTATATAAATTTGACTTATTTTGATATTTGTTTGACCCTTGTTAAAGACCTTAACATGTTACCTTCTTTTTTTTATTGTAATTTAAATAAATTTTGTAAAAGAAAGAAAACCTATGTAGGTGTCTACATGGCATCTCAATTTACTTTTTATCATTTCATTTTTTAATTAAATAAATTTTGTAATGAAGAGCCGATGAATAAAATGACAAAATAATTCTTATCTCATAAATTCCACTTAATTGAGATATATTCACGTAGTAGCCCAATGAATTTTTTTTCTTATTTTTTTATTTTTTTCATTTTCATTTTTTTTAATTTTTTATTAAAGTAATTTTATGAGAAAAAAATAATAAAGGTATTGATGTCGCGCTCAATTTTGATTTTTTTTTTTACACCTTCATTTTTATTTTTTAATTAGATAAATTTCGTAATTAAATATGTCAATTGATAAAGATGCAAAAATAATATATATCAAACGAGTTTCAATCCATCTCAATGTGATAAGAGAAAAATTTTTTTAAATCGGGATTGACTTGAAAGAGTCAAGTTTTTTCAAAGAAAAAAGGAGCTTAGGTTGGAAGCGTAGTTTAGATGTTTTGTCCTAACCTATTTTGAGGTATATGTAATAGTATATATTTTATTATTTATTTAATTTTATACATATATATTATATTAATAAAAATTTTTTACCTTAATTTCAAAAATTAATATTTTAAACTCAATTTGGAGTGTTAATATAACACCATCTGTGAAATTTTTATTTCTTTTTTTTTTTTTCAGTTTATGCTTTTTTCATTTTTTTTCATTTTCACCTTTTCCAATTTTCTATTTTTTTTGTTTTTGATTTTTTTATTGGATAAATTAATTAAAAAGGCAATTAAGGTTTTCATATGTCATTTTCATTTTTTGTTTTACTTTTTTTTCTTCTTTCCTATTTTTTGCTAAATTTTTTTATATCTAATAAATAATTTTGAAAGATTTTATTTTTTTAAAGGTGGGCTTCAATTTATACCACTCTTTTTTTTTTTTTGTTCTTTCTTTTTATCTTTTTTAAAGACTTTAAATTTATTTTTTTATAAAATTGACTTGATAATAAGGATATGTCACGTGTTTTTTTATTATTTTTTATTTTTATATATTTAATAAATATTTTTGGATTTTAAATTCTTTTTTGTCTCGCCAATTTGATATTAAAGGTATGTCACATGTCAAGTTATTTTCTTTATTTTATCTTTATTTTATCATTTTTCTATCTACTTTTTCTTTTTTTAAAATATTTATATATTTTAACTTTTTTAATGTGGGGCTCATTTAATATTATTGATTAAAAAATTTATCTTTTAATTTGATAATTTTTAAAGAAAAAAAAATAGAAAAAGCTAATTATTGCTAATGTTGCATAACAACTCAACTTTCATGTTTTTATTTTTATTTTTTTATTTTTGTTATTTATTTCATTTTTTTTTTTGCTTTTTTTTGTTTTTATTTTTTTATTAAATAACACGAAAATCAAAATATAAATTTTTTTAAAAAAATTTCAATAGAGGTATGAATAACGAAACAATTTGTATCTGGTAGGTTTCATTCATCCAAATCGGATAGGTGCATTTTTTTATTTGAGATCAAATTGAGATTTTTTTCCTTTAAATTCAAAGTCGAATATGAGATAGGTTTATGATGTTCCATCTTACCTTAACTATATATATTAAATTATATTTTAAATTATTTTATTTGATTTTATATTTATATATATTTATTATATTAATAAAATATTATTTAATATCTTAATTTAATAAAATGCTTTACTTATCCATAATTAAGATATAATATATCCATCTATTATATAAATTTGACCTTTTTAAACTTTTGTTTGACTTTTATATAAGGTGTTAACGTGGTAATATGTTTTTTTAACCTTGTTGTTTTTATTTTTAATTTAAATAAATTTTGCTAAAAAACCCATGTCTGTGTTCATGTGGCATTCCAATTTACTTTTTTCTTTCCCTTTATTTTTTTTTTTGTTATTAAATACATTTTGCAACAAAATAAGTTGATATATAATAATGATAAAATAATTTGTATCCAATAGATCCTTACTCAATTGAGATGTCCTTTTAGTATCCAATGAGTTTTTTTTTTTTTCCTTTTTTTAGTCATTTTTATTAAAGTAATTTTATCAAAAAATCAATAAAAGGTGTCGACGTGATGCCTCATTTGTGTTTTTTTTTTCTTTTGTTTTTTATATTATTTTAATTAAATAAGTTTTGTAATGAAAATATGCCAATTGATAAAGATGCTAAAAAATAATTTGTATTTAAAGAGTTTCAATTCATTTAAATCTCATAAGTGATGATTTTTTAAAACCGGAATTGACATGAGATAACTCAACTTTTTTAAAGAGAAAAGAGCTCAAGTTAGAAGCATATTTAGGATGTTCTACCCTAACCTATTTTGAAATATATATATATATATATATAACAGTATATAAATTTTATTATTTATTTAATTTTATACATATATATGTATTATTATTAATAAAGTTATTTAACTTTAATTTAAGAAATTAATAGTTTAAACTCAATGTGAGCATCCTTTGTGAACTCTTAATTTTATTTTTCCCTTTTTTTTTTGTTTTTGACTTTTTTGTATTTATTTTTTATTAAGTAAATTTTATGAAAAAAAAAAACCAATTAAGATATATACATGTCATTTTTTTTTTCTGCTTTCGTTTTTATATTTTAATTATATAAATATTTTTAAAAAAATCCAATGAATAGAGATAACAAAATAAAAAAATTTGATCCGCAATAATGTACGGGCCTCTATCTATTTTTTATATAAATTACTAAAACAAAATTTCTCTTATAGAAGACAACATCTAAAGATTTACTGTGCGCATTTGGTTTTTGTATTTAAATCTTTTTGTAAAACAACTTAGGCTATAAATAATGCTTGAACGATAATTCTCAGCAGATATCGGAAAAGATGCAAAAATAGTTTCTGGGATTGCATGTTAAAAAGCCCAACAAAAAGTAACTACTGTTACTACGTTACCTAAAACAATTCAACAAAAGCAAATTTAGATTGCCAATCTTGCGAGTTGTAATCTCAATTGGATTGTACAAAATAATCTGGCACCGCTCAGTGCCACTTCAATTCTAAGAATAATGTTTTCAACAATCTCCCAAAAAGAGTCTTTAACAAAACACAAGAAGATGGTGAGAACGAGAACAAACTAATATCTTATCAAGTATAGACAATTTGTGGCTTTCATAGAATATCACCGTTGCCTCATTCCGACTGCTGCAAAGCCTCAACAAATGCATCTTTCAGGAGTGGATTTGAAGCAGCAACTTTTGGAACTGTAATGTCAAAATCTTTACCAAACCTGATGCAAAACAAAAACCATCAGTGGATACATAAGTATAAACCTCCAGGCTTCAACTGATTTTGCATGTAGGTCCAAACATCAGATAAGTGAAAAAAAAATCAACATCATTTAATGACATTTCTGATTTTTTAAAAGTTCATGCCACAATTTCTAACACAAAGATTCATAAAATTAACATTGTATGTTGTGGAAGGCTGCTACTTGCTATTAACTTCTCATCTTACGCTATTAGATTTGGAAGAAAATAGAATGTGCATATTGCATAGTCAACTATATATGTTAGCTACTTACGGATCATACACAAGGCCTCCGGCTTCTTTAACAATTAAAACACCAGCTGCCACATCCCTGATCATAGAGCAGACAGTGTCAATCATGTACCAAATACCAAACTTCATCAAAAATTGAAATGATTAAAGGCATACCATGGACCTCCATATCCAAGTTCGTAAAACAGGTCAAGCCTTCCACATGCAATTCCGCAAAGGTTCAATGCACAAGAACCGCTCATCCGAAGTGATCTCACCTGTTAACCAGAAGAAGTGGGTATTGATTTCGGCACATAGTAACAAAAGAATGAATCCATGCAACGTTTTTCTTTTACCTTGAAAAGTAAGCTATTGATTCTATTTGTAGTAACATCCACAGTTAGCTCATCTCGTTTTGTTCCAACCTGCTCAAAAGGACAAGATTTAATCAACTTTTTACATGCTTGTGCAGAGGGACAACTTTATTGTGCCAATTAGTCTAACACTATTTGCTAACCACCTGCTAGCAATACCATGATAATATTTTGTAAAATCAAATTGGAAGTTGGAGGCAAAATTTTTAAGTTCAGTTTCACCCAACAAAGGAAACAATAATTAAGTTTGAAATAATTAACCTCTGTTGCAAGGAGAGACTTCACAAGTTCAGTTTGAGATGACACTGCAAAATTTCAGAACACAATAACACAGCTTTTAGAGATTCAGTTAAAAGTTGAAAGGAAATTTGAAACCTTTATCAAGAGCATTTGATTCACCTCTTATAGGGGCTCTATTGAGAAAAGCACCTTTTCCAAGTACACCAGTAAAGAGCTGCATGTCATAAACCCAGCAATAATTATTTAACACTTGATAAAAAAATAAAGGCATAACTCGAGATTCCAGAACCTTCAATGACTTAAATAGCAATTCTCACCTCATCCATTATTGGATTGTAAACAACACCAACTGTAGGAACCTTTCCTATTGTAAGACCAATGGAGACGCATACCAAGGGGAACCTACAGGATTGCCACAATAGACACGAAAATGACTGAGCATATGAGATGAAACACAGGACAAGGAAAAGCTATTACCCATGCACAAAATTAGTTGTTCCATCAAGAGGATCAACTATCCAGGTAGGCTCGTCAGTCAGCTCTGATGTACCACATGCGGCAGTAGTTTCTTCACCAATGAACTAAAATACAGCAATTACACTTATCAGAAAAAGTGATTCACTACTGACAAACCTAGATTGTATTCATAAGTTCAATTCTTGAATTTTGATAGATGCATGGTAGATAATTAGATAAAAAGTGCTAACCTTGTGAGAGGGGAAATGCTGCTTGAGATAATCAAACACAAGATCTTCACAAGCCTTATCAGTCTCTGTGATCAAATCCACCTGAATTTAGATAAAATAGAAAATTGTAAGTAGTCGTTTTCAATTCTAAATAGGAAAGTAACAGTTAAAAGATGAACCACAACCAATTTGAAAATGTACTGAGAAATCAAATAAACCCAAACAGCTTCTACAAATATTAGATAATACAGTTTCATCTGCGACTCTGGTATCGACCAATGAAATCATTGGTTGAACCCCAGTAATCCATCAACATTGATGACTTTAACACCCTTATCATCATACATGGATTTCATGGCAAGCTAACTAGAAATGGAAAAAAATTGAAACTCAAAATGTGGTCTAATCAGCATTAAAGAGAGAGAGAGAGAGAGAGAGAGAGAGAATAGAAAGACCTGGCCTTTATGCTCTACATTCTTGGTCTGGTAAAACCCTTTACGGATTATCTACAAATTCATCAAAGAAAAAAGAAAAACAAAACACGGTAAGAGAATTTAAAATGAACAAATCGATGAAGTAAATTATAAACGAAGAAAGAAGACAAGAAAAAGAAGGAATTTTGAATGAACCTCGCCAGCTTTCTTAGCAGCACCGACTGCAGTGGTCAAGAACTCTTCAAAAGAACCTGAAATCCACAGAATTTACAAAACAAATAAAAGAAACAAGAAATCAAAACCCCGCACGGGAAATGAACCACAGCAACCAAAAAAAATCTAAAGAATAATAATAATAATAATAATAATAATAATAGTAATAATAATAATAATAAAGTAAAGAAAAATAGAGACAAAGATTAATGGGGGGAGGGGGGTCCTACTCCTACCGTTGTCAGCCATGTTAAATAAGTTGGAAAGCGTAAGAAATATTTATTGGCGATGGATTTTGGTGCTTGGGTAAATTGGCTGAAGAGCTTTTCACGTATCACGTGAAGAAGAAGCAAAGCAACAAAGAAAGAGAGGCCCTTGTGTAGAGCTTATATACACAATTTTACGGGAAATAAATGCCTCTGAATTTCCTCATATTCTCTTTTCTTTCTTTTTATTTTTTATTTTTCCATAACTCGTCCCCGTTACAAATGCCGTCCACTTAAACATTCCTTTCTAATTTTGGGGGATTTACAAAGCACAAAAATTTGCAGTTGAGATCTGATCTGTTTTGTTTCTGTCTCAGCGGTGACGTTTTGGTGTTATTTTAGTGTTTTTTTTTAATTACTAGTAATATAGGAGTATATTTTTAGTAAAAAAAAAAGTATGGCATATTCACTTACCATATTTAATTACAAGAATGGTTTTTTTTTTTTTTTTTTTTGTTTTATAGTTCTTTAGGAATAGAAAGAATTACGTAGATAGTGCTAATCTGCTTAGGTGGGATGGGTACATGGAGAAAGTAAAGCACAAAGGATTCTCCTCATTTTGCTTAAAAAGCTACCCCAAAATGTGCAAATTGGCAACATAACTATGCATTTCAAGATAAGAAGTGGCCTAGAGTTTTCTAATAAATAGATTCCAAGGGAATTAGTGAATGCAATTGGAAAGGCATCTGGTGTAGCAATTTTGAATAATGGAGCTTATTCTAGTCTTTTCATAAGGAGATCCATGGAATATGCCAATGTGCCAATCACCCAATGCACGGGCTGCCGTAACTCACTTGATCTCCCTCTCCTCCTCTGTTCTGGCTCGTGTCCGGATGCCAAAGTTTCACATCAGAATTTCACATGACATGATTGTGAAAGCCCAAATCCATGACAGAATTAGTCTCCTCCACCCACCAACGCAAAATGAGCTTTTAATAATTCTTCTCTTCTAGGACGTAAATGAATTTGTCCATCTTGCGAAGCTTCCTAGGACCTCTGTTCCCTTTGCTGCCTGCCTCATTCTCAAGCTTGCCAAAGAGTGACCAAAAGGGCCAAAGGTTTCCAAGGCTCACCTCCAATATCTCTCTTTCTTCTTCAACCAATAACCAAAAGTTGCAATTGCATTCCTTTACAGTAGATCTTGCTAATAATTGATAAACAAGTTTGTTTTGATTTAGGTAAACATATATAGGGTTTCCACAAGAATGGAAAATAATGCAACTCACAGACTTACCACCTCTAACACCAATGAACCACGTAGCCTCTAAATAATAGGATCAACATAGAGATGGAAATTTATTTAGTGAAAAATAATATACTACCTCGGTTTTGAAAGAACAGTCCTTACATTCAGAAAATTTCATTCGACACTTCAAAGAAAAATGTTGAACATGCGTAAACCTCTTTACACTTGCATTAAAGTATAAACATTAAATAACACAATGCTGTAACCTTTAATTATTAATTACCGGGAAGTACCGTCAAATTCAGAAGACGTAACAGCTAGAAACAAGCATCAGAAACCACAAATATGTTGGAACAAAAAGTTTGAAAAACTGAAATTTCTACTTCTTATAAATCTGATATTTTTGGAATTTTAATAAAATGTCCTAAAACGTGTAACAGTAATTTCTTCTACAGTATTATTTATTTAATAAGTGTACAAAAGAATTATAAATAATAAATCTTGATAATATAATGAAACCCAATAATTAATTATTTTTTGTACTAATGAAATCAATCCATTAAGTATTACCGACATGTTACAAAATCATCACATTTCTATAAAAATTTTTCAGCAAAATTTTATAAAAGGAAATTTGAAGTTTATTGAATAAAAAATGAAAAAGTTCAAAAAATCATTTTCTATGTTCTTCCCAAAAATCAGAAAAGTTTATATAAACAATTAAGTATTCCTTTATACTACAAACATAATTGTCTGCCTGCCTTTTTAGAAATCATAAGTATCAATTTAAACATACTTATTTATCTATTTTATGCAAATTTAACTATCTATTTTTATCTATTTGTTTGTTTTTAAAGAGACTTAATTGATTAAATATTTAATTAAACTTTAAATTAAATTAGAATAAAATAATATTTTATTTATTAAACTTTAAACAAATATATTTTATTTATTACAAGTACCAAGTATGAAGTGCTAAGTGTCATTAATTAAATATTAATATATATTAATTATTTAACTAATGCCTAACCAACCAAGTTTGATAATCCAAGCTCATGATCATTAGCCACTTAAAGTCCAACTGTAACGAAATTCTATTCCTCTTAATTTAAATAATTGTCTTATTTGTTCTTTTTTCAATATAAGATTATTTTTCATACATTATTTTAAAATTTTCTAACAAAATGTAAAGAGTTGAATCAAATATCTCAACAAATTCATACCAGAGAATTATTATATCTTCACCGTACCTGACCCTCAGCCAGAAAACCAGACCCGTCTTTTCTGCCCACAGACGTTTATGCTGGAATTCATCCCAAACATTGGATATTACATATAACCATAAACTAAGATTCTAAGGAAGAACAGAAAAGATTATCCTTTTTCCATATTACAAAGGACTACGACAACGCTATATGATTCACGTTCAATTTGTGTTAATAACATTAAAAAAAATAAAATAAAACGAGATTACAGTACACTAGAGCTCACTATGGCCGGTCTCTAGGCTCAAGGGCAACTATTTCTTTCACAACTTGAGCCTTGTCTGCCTCAAACTGTTCGTCCTCTGCAAGACATGAAAGCAGGAAACTATAAATAAAGTGCCAAGCCTAGAAACTTACAAGGAAAAATTGTTACATGTGTTTCTCTTTTCTACCTCTATCAGTCTTGAAATCTGCAAACAAACGTAGAAGCTTGCTTTTATTTGCAATGAGTATACTAACAATGTCAGGAGGCTTATTCTGGTTCGCAGCAAACAACTGTAGAAACATATACAAAATGTAAATAACCAAAGAAAATGACGAGCAATTTAATGTTTCAAATTACAAACTAAAGTGTTCCCAAGGGAAGAATAAATTAACATGACACCTTGAAAACATGAAAAGCTTCTATTTGGATGCTCTTGCTTGATTCCTGCAAATAAAGGAATTCACAATTTAGCACTTGGAAGTTTATTCCATATAATAACACCAAATTTAAAGAGATTGTAGTTCGTCTTTAGTACTTAAACATAGAAAATCTCAGTAGTTGCAGCTACTGGCATGATCATAGCTATAGGCCAGTATTATACTTAACATTTAACACCATAAACTAAACAAAGAATACTATTTGCTAACTTACGCCTGAAGATTTTTATGGTAGTCGGTAGCGAACCATTTTGAGAGCTATTTCATGTTTAAATCTTCATGTAAGATATGCAATACACTAAGTTGGATAGAGTGTGTTGTTAGAATAAAATAACACCAAGACATCAAACTCCTAGAAAATTTGATCATTCAAAAATAATGTGGGATTACCAAAACATGAAATCAAGAAATTTGGGGAAGTGTCATACCCTTAGAAGATTCATAAGAATCCTTAAATTATCCCTTGAGCTCACATATCTGGTCATGACAGCTGAGTTTGAGCGGTCCAACAAAATATCCCCCAATAACTATAACATTAAGAAGAGAAAAGATTAAAAATAAAAAAGGTCTCCTTAGCAATGAAAACTAGAACTGCAATTGCGTCTGCCGCATCTTATTTAAAAACTTTAAAATAAACCAGCCATCATGCTGCTGTGATTTTGACAGTTTAAAGAAGGAACTTCAATTGGATTGTGTTGTCAAATCTTAAGCAGCACTATTGAACATCCCAGAATGGTAATACAATCTTTCCACTCATCATACTTCTCAAAACTCCTATTTTCAGTTTGAAATCAGCAACCGAAAAGTAAAAATACTGATGTGAAGTCAAGCATGTTTAAAAGCACCAAGCTTGTGTTTTTATTGAAAAAGAATCACTACAATACTTGCTGTTTCTTTTGTAAGGGTCATACCTTGACAGCTTGCCTTCTGGTAATGTAGTTGCTAGATTCCAGCAACTTTGAGTTATATTCTGCAAAAAACTGAAACAGCAGACATGGTTAAGTTCATTGAGCTCTAATTAATGAAAACTTTCAACACAAAAAAAGTATGAAGAAGAAATGCAGAGACTATTAATGTAGTTATTTGTAGCATCATTACAATTTACAACTGTGTGATAAAAATATCTAGTCAAATATAAAAGAGCAAATAAAATGATCCTAATGGAAACAATTTACAGGCTGACAGTAACGGGGGAGAGAGAGAGAGAGAGAGAGAGAGAGAGAGAGACATTAATAATTATGAGCTGACATGATTATTTAAGCACCCTGATCATATTTAACATAAAAACTTCCCAATTTAAAGGATGACAGTAATGGAGAAGCAAGACTTACCCAGTCATAGTTCTTGGAAAGAAATTCAGCTACAGTGGACTTATGCCTTGTCAAGAGCTCCTGTAAGAAAACAAGATATTACATGACATCAGCAGTCAGGCACATAACTCAAAACCCTTAACGAAAGAAGGGAGGCAGATGAGGAAGTTCATGAGATGATGACTCAACATAAAACAACTTTGTTTGATTTGCTGAAATTGAAGAGTAACTTTATTTTGACAACATAAAATTGAAAAGCAAATCAAGTCCCTACTTCAAAAATACAGCAAACAACAGGTTGTTCTGAAACTAGATTCCAATGACAAATGCAGATTCAGCAGTGCAACAGTAAGAGACAAAGTAAACAAGAGCAAAAAAAGAAAAAGATCATTTTAACATAGATAGATCAGCAGTAGTCAACCTTAAAAGTTGCAGCAGCATCAGCAGCAACGTCGAAATTTGGAAGTTGTATATAGTCAAAAAATTTCTTCATGTGCTGTGACTCCAAAACATACCTGTAAATCAAACAAAACATGACATATAGTCAATAATAGATCAGAAAATCTTTAATTATTTTAAAAGTTTTCTATTAAAAATTTTAGGAGATACGTCTCTTTCAAATAAAAAATTGTCTTATAAAAAGAAAAGATTTCAAAGGTAAATAATGGACAAGATTGCATCTTGAGTGCAAATATGACAGAAACACTAGCTGACTAGATAGATGAATTAAAAATGATTTCGGGTATTCATTTTTATTCTCTAAAAGGATGAGAACCCAAGTCATGAAGGTATAAATTAAATAGATCGACTATGCTCACCTTGCAACAGTCTGATGTCGTATGCATTCTCTCAACATTGCACCATAATGTAAAGCCATGTCTGTGTTCTCATAACTGCATAAACAACATTTAAGAATCAGAAGATGGTGATAAAATGCTGGATACAAAATAAAGCTCAATTTGACAGTCTAACCAGAAGATTGCATGAATCAGATATCATCCATAAATTAGGATTATAGCTCCATTATAAAGGCAAATGTTTGGCGAACATGCGATTTGATCAATTAGTAGAATCCAGTAACAGAAATGCCTCCACATTCTTTTTTGCTTAATTGAAAGAATAAAACAGAATACTGAAAACTATCAGTAACTTATCATCTTAGCTCTAGCATTAAGTTGTCCAAACTAGACAACAGAGAGACAAAGATCCAAGGAGCTAATAGAGTCACATGGAAAATCAACCTACCAATCATTATATATCTTAAACATCCAACAAGAAAAATAAAAAACAGTAATCATAACTTCTGATATACCTTTTCCGATTGCAACTTACCCTGCTATTAAAATATCCATAAGATCTACATTCGCCTCCAAGTAATCAGAAGCAATCAACCGCGACTGCACTTGTTGCCTTTGCAAATTTGCAACAACTTGAGTTGCATCTTTCCTCGCCTGCAAAGGAAGATACTTGTCAAATTATCGTAGAAGCAACAATTGTATAAACTTACAGTGCTGCCACAACAATAACACATGCTAAGGAAAATTTGCATATATGAACATTGTCTAGTAAGTTAAGCCATCTGAAATTATAGTCAATTGGATACCTCTAAGTTCAATTTAGGAAGACAAGTGATCATGAGCCGTAGTGTGTTCTCCCTGAAGAATTCCTGAGTCAGTTGTGCACAAGCTTCTGAGACTGGCTCAGATTCACTATTTCCATAAAGAATAACCTTTAACTCCCTTATATTCTTACATAACTCTGCCGTCTGTATCAAAATTACGATCAAATATATGGATTAGACACTGAACATATACTCCTTTCAATAAATCAAATAGCAGCTCAAGCTCTATAAAATCAATACCAAACATTAGCCACTTGAAAAAAATTGCTACTAAATATTTAATTCCCCATAATAATTAAAATCCCATGCTCTCGTCAATTGAATCCTTATCGGAGCCAAAATTCCAAAGAAGTTAGATTCCAAAAAAAAAAACCGGAAAAAAATCCAGATCAACAAAGAAAAAAAATCCATATAATTAATGTCATGTGTCATGTTTTTAATAAGCGGACCTTCTCTTCCCGCTTGGATTCACGACTATCGGTGCAGTTATCGGCGTAGATGAGGAGATTACGCGTTTGCCGTACAATATCAACGGGAGTTCGCGGCTTGGATTTGAAAAGTCCCTTCATCTTCGTAGATGATGTGTGATTTGTAGACGATGATTTGTGGTGTAGGTTTGCTGTGGTTGTGGGATCAGATACAGCAGTTGCGACAGCCTCCGTGCGACGGTTCTACTCGCCGCACCGCTTGGCTTCTTTATACAAAGTCCTATTCTTTCAAAAAAAAAAAAATCCCCTTCCAATTTCTCACAGCTTTCTTAGAGTTTTACCTTTTAGGTTTCACCGGCGTTAATTGTTTTCAGAAGGATGAGCTTTGGTGTTTGGCATTTTTTACGCGCAGGTTTATATAAAGTACGGCTCTGCTCAACTTTAGGTACTCAACTGTTGGTGGTTACTGTTCTTTATCCTACATGCTGGGTTTCGAGTTCGTCTTAGTTTTGTTCTCCTGCGAGTTGACATATATTAGACGACGTCAGAGATCATGTAGGACTAATAACATATCGACACGTAGGCTAATTGAGTTAAATTTGGGGGTATTCGGTGATTTAGCTTAAGGTCTTGTACTTCTAGGTGGAAAGGTTTTTTCTGTGGAAAGACTCGATTGAAATTCCAAACAAAATTAATTTGTATTTCACAGCAAAAGATAATTGGATAAGGATTTTGTTGTTCCGGATAGGTCATCAAATCAGCTATTTAATTTTCTATTAAAAAATTGGTGGAAAAATAAAAGTAATCTACAATTTTGACAAACATAAAAGATTGGAATTATACAAAATAATTAATTTCTCCCAATAATTTTATTAAAAAATACAGATTATTATCATTTTATTTATATATAAAGTCAATCCTTAAGTTAAACAATAAACTTTAAGTTTTATCTCATCATCAAGTTTCTTTCAAAGATAATGATGTTGGTCATGCTTAATAATATTTTATTGCTGATTCCAAACATTTCACCATTATTCCTTGAATTTTTAGTGTTTTATATCATTAAATTTTAATTTATTCTATAACATTAAAGAATTTTATTACCTTTTTTTCTTCCAATGTTAACTATATCAAAGTATAATCACTTTAGCAAATTTTATCCAAAAAATTAATAAAAAATGACATAATTACCATGTAAATTGCCCCAACATCTACTGTTAAATTTTTGGATGAAATTGATTGAAGTTATCAGATTTAGGTCCCATATACTTCGTAGAAATTAACTTTTTAAAAATGTTTTTTAAAAAATATTTATAGGTTTTGAAAAAGTAAAATTTTTTTATTATTTGAATAAGCTAATGAAAAACATTTTTTATTATTTGGTTATTTTTTGAAGAATAGGTTATTTTTTTTCAAATAATATTAATATAACTATTAAAAAATTAAAAAATATTTATTATTAAATTATATTGAAATTATTATTATTAAAATTATTAATCTTTAAAATAATTATATTTTGACAATAATATTTAATATTAAAATATTATATTAATATAAAAATACTTAAAATAAAACTATTTATTATTCTTTATATTAATATTTTAAAATATTTAAAATAGTATTATTATTCTTAAAATATTATTTTTATTAATATTAAAATAGTACTATTTATTATTAAAATATTTATACTATTAAAATAGTTATATTTTACATTGAATGTATCTATTATTAAATCATAACAAAAATCTTTTTATTTATATTTATTGTTAAAATAGTAATATAAATACCTTAATAAATGAAAATATAAAATTATATATTTTAAACTAAAAAATAATAACAAACTATCAAAAATATTCATATTAAGAAATAATACTATTATATTGTTTAACATTAATTATTAAAATAATAATATTATTATATATGTTATTATTTGTTATTAAACAATAATATAATACTATATTATTGAAATATGTTTAATAATATACAAAATTAAAAATAATTGAAATTGAAATATCAAAAGACTTTAAATGTTATTATTTTAATTTTTAATTAAAATTAAATAAAATGTTTTTATTAATATAATAATATTTTAAGTCGAATCAAATCAAATTCAAGTTTAAAATATTATGTTTAAAGTCTTATTTGAGTGAAATTATAAAAATATTAAATATTAAAATATTAAAAAACTTTTAATATTAATATTTTAATTTTTTAAGTAAAACTAAATAAAAATATTATTTATTAATATAATAATATTTTACGTTGAGTTAAATTAAATTTGAGTTTTAAAAAATCATGTATAAAGTCCAATTTCAATACAATTATACTTGAATACATTAATAAGGAGTTTTACTCATAAACAATTCTTTTTTGAAAAAAAAATTTTTTTTTTTAAAAAGGGAAGACAATTTAAGAAAAACTGTCTCATTTTCGGTTGATCAATAAGTTATTTTTTGTTGACCAGTTAATTTTCTGTCAAACAAACATTTGAAAATGCAAAAAAAAAAATTTCAAAAATAATTTTTTATGAAATAAATGGAGCATTAATATAATTAATAAAATTCAAAGGTTTTATTAATACAAATTAAAATTTAATTACTCAAATGAGATTTTGAAATTTAAAGACCAATGATAAAATTTACTAACATTTTTCTAATGGTTAAGTTGATTTTTCAAGAACTATATATCAAAATATGTTTTACATGTGAATAAATTCTGTTTCTCTTGATTAATTGAATTTATCTAAATTTGGAATTTAACTCAAAGTTCATCCACCTCTAATTGAATTCCAGTAAGATTAGGTTTGATCTCCAACATTTATAAATTTTCTTTTCTCATTTGGCCTCATTTGTATCAAAAGCAGTGTTTCAATCCAATTAATCATACTTAATTATCAAACAAATATATACTTAATTTCTTTTAATTAATCAAAATCATGTCTTCCTCAAAATTATAAAAGAAAAAAAAATGAAAGCAGCCACCTTAGGATGATCGATGAGGCAACAAACTTTACATTTGGATAAACTGAGGTTTCCATCTTGCAATTGCAATCCTGCAGTCCATATGCAGAGAAGAAAACCCTTCATTTCCACCTTCATATTCACATGCATTCCCCACTCATTCAATGCTGCCTTGCCGCTGCCATAACCCCCACATCTTCTGCATGCTTCTTTTTTCTCTTTTAATCCATTAAAAGAGTCAAAAAAAAAAAAAAAAAAAACACCCACTTCTTGCAAAAGAGCCTTTTAACTGTCTTCAAGTTCTGGTTTTAACATGAAACCTGCGCTTCAATTTTTATTTAGAGTTTATATTTGATGTATTGATAGTATATACATTTCATACACTATTAATCAACTAAATGTTACTACTTTATTAACGAAAAATTTTAAAAATTTAAAAGCCCTCAAAAATAAATATTTATAAATTTTAATTGTTTAGTTAGGAAAAAGTAATGTTTTTTTTTTACTTTTTGTAAAAACTTAATCATAACTTAAAATTTTTAAATTAATTTGACTCAAATCTATTTATGAACTTCAATGAACTTTTAAACGAGAATTCAAACTTTGTAAAAGTAAATATTATTGTTGAATAAAAATAATATTCAATTATAATTACAATTAAAAATAATAGATAAAGAGAAAACCGGAGGCGTTCATGGGTTGAGCCGAGCTCATACTTGTTATTAATTGCTTATATACTTGTTCAGGCCTAGGCCAACCCAAAATTTCAAGTTTCAAAATTTTTTCAAATTTTACACAAATTAAAAAAAATAAATCCCAAATCCACCCATTAAACTTAATTTATATAATAAAAAATAAAAACAAGTGATTAAATTAAGTTTAATAAGATTATATTCAATTCACATATACATAAAAATTAAAAATAATTTTATTTTTAATTTTTACATATATAACTTTTATGTTTGATTTTTATATATATGTGAATTAATTTATATATAATTCACATATATATATAAATATATATATATATATGTGAATTCAGGTCGGGTTAGGTTGAGCTGGGTTTTAAATTTTTTGTCTAAGGCTCGATTCAAAATTCAAATGAGCTTAAAAATTATGTTCGAAACTGTTCAACAGGCTTTAATTTTTTGTCCAACCTTTACTAAAATTTGGACAGACCTTTGGATTTGAACGAGTAGCTCAGCCTTGAATAGGTCTAGGAAACCTAACTTTGATTTAAACAATTTAATCTAAAAAACCCTAACTATCATAGTGATTCATGTCAACCGCAAATAGCCACCACTTCGACAATTACATTTGACCTTCAACAACCTTGGATGAAAAACCATTACGTTCTACCTTTGATAATCATTAATGTAGGAACAAAAGCACTAAACCTTTGTTGTACCTTACCTAAAAAGCAAGCATCAAAGATTATCAAATTCCTAAATGTAAATTTTCACAACTAGCCAACAATGCAAGAAATCTCTTCAATCCTGATCTCAAGCTAGCCATCTCATCATCTCTTTATCTCTCAATTTATTCCATATCTTTCTCATTTATTTTTGTTTAACTTTTGCTGCATATTCCTCCCTTGTAAACAAAAAGAATGAATTCCATATTATGTCGCTTTTTTTTTTTGTTCATCAAATCACAACAATAAATGATATAAGTTAATTAACTTTTCTTTCAATAAAATTTAGAGATATTTATCTTTGAGGGCTTCTAAATCTTTAAAATTTTTCATTAATGAGGTGGTAGTATTTAGTTGATTAATAGTGTATAGAATATATACACTATCAATGCATCAAATATAAAATTTATCATATATTGATGGCAAGTGCATAGCGTTGAGTGTTGAGTGTTGACACATTTCCAAACTCGAGAATAAGCACACGTAGCTCATTGTTGACATTTTCAAACTTCAGTGATTTTTAGTAACTATTCATTCACATGTTCATGTCTTATAAAATATTATACATTAAAGCTATTTTTAGTGCACAAAATTATAATAAGATAGGATAATATAATATTATATATAAAATTAGATTAAATTATATCATTCTATTTTATGTATGGTGTGTGCAAAGATTAAAAACAAGATAGAATATTATTTAACCATTTATCATGTCTGTTATGTGTAAAATTAAGATTAAAATAGGATGATATTTTTCATTGGTCAAAATTACACTTTATATACTAGTTTGATTTTTATGTAGTCACAGGTGATGTAATTTTTCAATAATTTTTTTACAAATCATCTATCAATTAATTAAAAGTTGCCAAAATACCTTTCTAATTGATAAATTCCTTCAATAATTTTGACTTAAAAAAAATACTCATAATAAACAAATAGATACATCAAATAAATAATAAATAAATATAAATTCAAATAAAATTATATATTATTTTATATTACAAATTATTAAAAAATTTATAACTTATAGTTTAAAAAATATCAAAGTTTGAATAAGTTTAACTTACAAATTACTTGCTTGGCTCCTTGTTGCCAATAATAATAATAATATATATTTTTGATAAATAACATAC